ACCCACTACAAATAATATTTATCGATGCTATTGTGTCTGGGTTTCAGTCCGTGAGAAGCGCGTGGGTATCCTGAAGCCGCAGGGCTCGCTGGAGCGCGCCAGGGAGGAACGAGCGCTCGCCACGCAGGACGACCAGCTCATTGTAAGTACACACTACTATTTCACATAACAATTATTGCAGCATTTATTAGAAAAACGAGTGATATTATTTGAAGAAAATACGGCCCTAGATCACCAATAGACAGTATAATCTATATATATATGAATAAAACCCGTTTCCCGTTGTCACGCCATAACTTGGGAACGGCTAGACCGATTTTTGTTGTGTTTGTTATAGTCAGGAGAAGGTTCTTATGACAGAAAAAAATCCTGAAAATCCTACGGGAATGGGAGAAACAGAATTGAGCGTGCGAAGTCGCGGGCAAAAGATAAACTACAAGTACAAGATAAAAAACACAGTATTGTGAATAGTGGGCTTGAAATACAAATTAAATACCACACAAAGATTATCTAATACATAATTATATCGTCATGTTACTGATGACTTCAGGTTCTTTTTTCTGACCACTCCTACATTATCCATTCCATATTGTAACAGTCGACATGCTGGTTGCAGGAAGCCGACGTGTCAGAAGACAGTAAGTCGGAAGACAAGAAAGAGGCGCGTAAACCGAGGGTCAACATCGCCATGGCAGCCATCATGAGGAAACAGGAGGAGACCAATAAACAGGTTGGTTTGTAAAAATTGTTCGTTCTTTAAGGACTTATCCTGGCAATAACGAACTCGACAACATTGCTATTTACTGCAGCATAATCGTTCCTAAGACATGTGATTACAAACATTTAAGGTAAATCATTTAATATCGTTTTTGAAAAGGTGTATGATTTCATGTTTGTTATCTTCCTCAGGTGAAATTTGTAACGCCCCCGCCGACACCAGACTCCATTCCAGACACAGAATCCAAAGACGACAAGCCCAAAGTAATACAACCAAAGGCCATTAAGTCACTGGCCAACTTACCGCTCGGCAGGAAGACTGGCGGCATACTCTCACTCAAGGACAAGTCTGCTGGGTACCCACACCTCGTACTCAACACAGAACCAGAGCCACCCAAAAAGACAGAGAAAGAAGAGAAAAAAGACATCAAGCCGAGTCCGTCCAGCCAGAGCTCGCAGAGCTACCAGCAGAAGCGACAGGAACACGCACCTTCGCCCAACTGGAACCCACAGAGCACGTACCCCGACGCACCCAGGATGAACTTCCAGAAGAACTACGGCATACAGAACGCGGGCCTCAGCTACAACCCGAGCTACCCGGCGCCCAGTGTCAACAACCAAGGCATACGACTGCCCGTCGTCAACCCCAAGGAGATCGACGTGAGGACTGCAGCACTACAGAAACAGAACTCCCGCGCCGAGCTGTTCCAGGACGGACAGAAGTTTAACCACAACTACCAGATGTCTGGCGACAAGAAGAACTTCCTGAACGATCTGCCTCCTCGATTCGCCAACCAGTACCGGTACTGGCATAACGCCCAGGAGAACCAGTTCAACGACAACAAGTTCCGCGATGACAGCTTCAAGCAGAACTCCTTGTTCAATGGTCAGCAGCCACGCACCTGGACACAGCCCCCGCAGCCACCGCAGGCAGACGGGTATCAGGCACCCATGTGGTGGAAGCCCGACCAGACCAACAATTTCAACGCCAACTTCCAGCAACAGATGCAGCCCAACTTCTATTCGCCACAACACCTTAACACCAACCTCCCGAATCCCTACCAGAATCTATCTTACAACCAGATGCCGAATAACATTCCTCAAACCAAACAAGAAGGGTTCAGTCAGCCAGGATACATGCAGTCAGCTATCGGTCAGCCGCAGCTACAGACGCTGCAGACGCTTGTGACGTCACCCAACTTCAATTCGTCACTGAACAGTTTCTCTTACGCGCCGGTGGGCTACGACTCCTCCCTGTACCCTCAGTTCTCCAACAAGCTGGGCTACCAGCCACTGCAGATGAAGATGGAGAAGCCGCTTGCCTACCAGGGGAACAAGGAGTTGATGGACATGAACGCGCTCAACTTCGGAGGCAACGCACTCGACATGCAGCAGAGGAACATCAACTTCAATGAACCACTCAACAACGACATCGGGAATGTTAAGAATATGGATCAGATAGGGGTGAGTTGACGACTATTATGTTTTTAATGACAATCAATAGACAATAGACATTAGATAATAATTTGATAATAAAAGTTCCCCTATATCCTTCACATTGCTATGCTGACCTGATACTAAGCCTGTGTTCGTATGTATAGAGCGGCGAGGGCGCCAGTGGTGCGGCGCCAGGCAGTACGTACTCTCTGTTCAGTGGGGCCCCAGACACCAACGCATGGGGATCACCTGCGCACGCGCAACCACCGGTAATATACTTTATTATAATCCTTTTAAGAGTCATCTAGGTGGTAGTGATGAATGATCACAATTCCAGCGTGATAAGTAATAATTTATTATTGTATACGTAAATGTTTAGTCCCTGTGGTCGGGTCCTGGCCCGTCGCCCCTGGAGCGCCTGCTGGAGCAGCAGAAGCAGCTGAAGGCGCCGCAATGACGGGGGCGGCGCCGCGCGCGGACACTACGCTCGCGCTGATACACACCCCGCCCCATACTACAGCCCCGATATACCATCGACATTAATTGCTCATTTTTCTGTAGTATGCTTCAAGGTAAAAGACAAGAGCGAGAGACTAAATTACCTCGCGCTCACTTAACAAAAATATATCCCAATATTTCGGCCCATTATATAACTGTCAGTTAACGTTTCGAATTGTCCTACAACTGGTTCCGATTACTTCGTGCCGTGCAGCGAAAATATTTGGAATCGATGTTGCGCTTTCCAATGCGTAGTCGTTTTTAAAAAATTCTCCTTGATGATAATAATAATAATGTGCTGTTGTATAAAATTGTATAAATGTAAACAAATGTATAAAGTTGACGGCGACATGGAAAACTGATTAGTATTTTTGTCCAAGCGCCGATTGTGGCCGGTTTATAAAAAACTGTTGGCTCAATTGTAGAAATATATTTTATTGGCATTATTCATGGTTATCGTGCAGAGGATATACTTTTACCTTATTATTGTTAGAACAAAAGGAATGAATGAATTTTTATTAAATCTGCACATTTGCTTGCATTTGAGCACAAAAATTGGGAGCGAAGACTAATCTAAGTGCTTAGTCGTAATTGCCCTCGTTTCCTAGCTTAATTGCCAATAAATCGCATGCTGGCTATATATAAAATTGTAAGTGTTAAGACATAGGACCATTTACTCTAAGCTTCACGCTAGAAGCATAATTCTGAGCATACTTTATAAATATTTATTGGCTGTGACCGCAACTATTATAATGATATATTTGCTCAGAGTTACACTTCTGTGAAACTTGAACTCTGTTTGAAATATTAACTACTGATGATTTTAAATAGGCCTAGTCACTCAACAGATCATATTTACGTGGTTCTTGCATGAAAATACTATGTTGGTCGCCATTGTCGGGCGTCGTAAAAATTGTTCTTATTCTTGTACACTTGCATATTTTTGTATATTATCTGTCGTATGTCGCGTCGTGTGAACGGGTACAGATATTGTTGGCCTCCTTCGTAAATGTCGAACTGCACAGATTATATATTGCTTTACATTATTCTTGACGACATTTGGAAACGGATCTATTTTTTATTATTAAGTTTCTTATTTTAATAAGATATAATTCAAAATTGTAGGTGTAATTATTATTTATTGTTTTGTTGTGGTTTTGCCTCTTTATTTGTGTGCAGTTGGACATTTACAATGGCTTTATTTTAAGCATGATTTTGTTGTGATTTTAAGTGAAAGTAAATTAAAGTAACCTTTGTGAAACAATATTTTGTAATAAAGATATTTTTGTTATTACAGTTCTTGTTTCATTATACTGATGTCCCAGTTTGTTGTTATTTTCCAGCCAGTTCTTAAAAATAGCCCACCCAACCCTATTTTAATACAAAATGAAGTTATCTAATAAAAACAAAAATTAAATGTTACTTACAAAAAAATCAAACATCAGTTCGGTTCTGTATGTATATGTAACGCCTATTGTACACATGATATAATGCAATAAAAATTTGAATTTATGGAGTACTACTGTTCTCATCTTCGGGTCGGTTCGGCTAAATATTAGCTGGACGCGTTAGAGCACATTGAGAGGTGTGCCAAGACGCTCATGAACGATATGCGCTTGTGAACGATAAGGCCTCGAACTCAGGCGTAAAGTTGCAAGCCTTTCGGTCTTCTAACAGATATATTTCGGTGAGTGTGCGGGCCGAATTGCACAACTTGATTCCCCCTAGTCCTTTCCATCATCGTACCACAAGACAATCGGCGAACCGTCACCGATTCATAGTAGATGTCACACCTACACGCACGAAGCTCTTCGCATCAAGCTTTTTTGTGCGTACTGCGAAGGAGTGGAATTATTTGCCAGTCTGTATTTCCTGTAGGGTATAACCCGGGTGTCTTCAAGGCCCGAGTGAATAGGTTGCTTATGGGACGACGTGTTCCATCGTAGACCGCATCATCGCTTACCACCAGGCAAGATAGCATTCAAACGTCGGCTCATCATATCATATATAAAGTTCCACTTATCAGTTGCAACACAAACTACGTCATATCCGTTCTGCAATATCAGACTTCATAGCGTCGTAGGAAATATAATATTCGTGAATGACATTTGTACGTACTTCGCAACGAAAATGGTGTATTTATGTAACGGAACAAATAGGTATTGAAGTATTTTTAGTTTAAACTGTCAAACACCAAGCGGTCACCGGTGACCGCAACCTATTATTCTATAATTGTGTCTACAAAACCGGTACTCGACGAGTTAAACTTTGTCTAGGGTGTTAATCCAGTAGGATGACGGTAATCCAGTAGGTTGACGGTAGTCCAGTCGTAAATTATCTTTTAAACAATTAAAACACAATGTAATCAGTCAATAATTTAATTTTTATTTTATTTCTTCGTAGTCATTCTAAACAAATTATCAGATGAAATACATTTCTAATGTGTAAAAAAGCGTACTAATATTCTAATTGCATTATACATAAATTATTTACAATATCACTAATAAATATTTGAGTAAAACAAATAGGATTTGAGACAAAAACAATACTATTCTGTCATCTCCAATCTATAACAAGTTCAACTAGAAACAAGTCTAATATTTACTTTAAAATTGCATTACAGAATCTCTTTACAGGCTATAATGGGTAGTCAAATAAACGGATTTTATTATAAAGCAAGTAAAGCTATTTATCGAGTTAATAAATAACAGTCGTGCGAACACAATACGCTAAGATATGTACAACAAATTGACAAACAATAGTGCAAACTGGACCGTATGTTACCACCATCGCGTACCGACACTGCGCGGCTCCTGTGACGCAGGACCAGGCAGTGCGTGGTGCGCAATGAGCTTATACCTAGGACATAACCCCGCAGGGTAACTCGTGTTACCTACACATCTCACACTCAGTGCTTCCATACGCGCTTGTCTCCAGCACCGGTTATTTCCTCAAGACAATACATGTGCTACTTAAGGTTAGACACGAGGAAAATCAAGTACCACATTCGTCATTACACATAATAAATATTTTCTAATTCACATATCGTAATATATTTACCTGTATTAACAATCGGGAGTAACTCAATACATGCAATATATCAAAAAAAATACATTGTTGAATATGAATAACTAAATTACACTAACGTAAGGATCTTATAACTCATTCACAACTTTTCATAACCGTGTTTACTTATTCCACCCGGGTTATTGTCAAAAACAACTTAAACATATAAGCCGACAATACCTAAGGAAAGTGATACAAAACGAATATTGTCTAAAAATAGACTTGAGGGTGCCATAAAAATTGTATACACAAGTGAGCGTATATGGTTTGATGTCAGTCGATAAAATGGTGCAAGTAAATCAAATTCGTTCTGTTTGACTAGTCGTTGGCTGGCGGAGCGGCCGGGCACCAGACCTACACTTTGTACTGGCATTGGCACATTTCATTACACGCTACTTTGTAAATAGTTACCATTCGTTAACACTTGAGAACCTACTAACAAGGTAGAGACACCTTTACACAACGGATTAACATAGTCATATTGATCATATGACACGATTAGGAATACGTGGAAAGCGCAGACCAATCGTCATAGAGTTAGTCAGTAGGCAATGACCAGACATTATGTAACAAGTATGTTGGTTTGCACACTATAAAATATACAGCTCCATTCGTACATACAGACCTTCACAGTTGCACGCTGTAACGACATAGGACGTATTTTGTAATTAAATTATAAGATTTCACCTGGATAAAAGCAGGCCTAACTATTTACTCATTTTTCTATTTCATTGATATTTTTCAATACCTGTTCGAGATTGTAAAAAGGCATTCTTCCGACAGGAGTAACTGTAGAAGTCTGTATATAAAGGAGCTTTTTAACTATAAACATATAGGTAGGGCTGTTTACGCTCTGGACAACTTCTTATCGAAACACGGGAAGTAGCAACTTTAAAAGCGTATACCTAATCATTGTCTTGTGTTTTCGAAAAAAACAACTGCCGGTATCCATGTATTTAAAGATGGTGATAAAAATGATCACACCATACACTTTAAACTAATTCCAAGTACCACTACGATTACTTTATCAATTAATCATTTCCTACATTTTTTACACGAAACCTTTCTTTTTACAATTTAAATTGTGTGCAATTTTCAGTCATTTAATAATAATAATAATATTTGACCAATAAATGTTTTCTACATATAAACAATGTTTTGTCGTTCATGTAATTAAACAATAATAATTATATTTTTACAAATTCACTCTCATTGCTTCCGCATCATGATACACAGTTTATTGACACATGACAATCAATAAAGAGCTCTAGCACAGTTTAAACAGAAGTTATATTGTGTTGTAGTATTGAGCACATAGTCTGGGAGTGTTGTTTAGTAAGATTGTCTTCGTAGAGAAGTATTTGCATGGCATGTGTATTGTTCCATGCTAGAGCTCTGCAAGTCTATAACTATACATCGACACGCGATCAAGGCCTCAGGGTCAACACGCTAAATGCTAGGAAACAGGAGACAATAGATACTCATACCTTGTTTAAATACAATCTTTTATAATGTGAAACATTGTCTTTGTAGTAAGTACCAATACAAGAGTTATATAAACGGTAACATTCTGAGGCCTTGGTACGAGTTTCTTTTAGGAACGAGAACGAGACCGCATTCGGCACTCCCATAGAGCGCCGAATGCGTACTCTTTTCGATTACTTTGAAGGTACAACAAACTCGTACTTAGCCCTCTGGCCAGTTTCAGCAAACAGATTTTATTGATATATTTATAACAGATTTTATTCCGGCAACTAGATTATAATATTTTGTATCAATACCATCAATGCAGGTTGTGTATTTTTTATAATTTTGTATTGAATATCCAGTCTCCCGCATCCAAGCCATCACATTTACAATATACAATAAGGATATGTGAACGAATCGCTATAATCATAATTATAATCAAATTCGTCAGTCCTAACGTTGAGCCGACTAACTCGAAAACGTCACATTTACAAACACAACCAATTTATAATGTCACGATTTACAATATTTAAATTTTACCGTGGTAATATTAGATTTTAAGTGCTGGCAACATTGTTAAATATCTGTCAAGGAGTCCATTGTCCTGTCAAACTTCAAACATAATAGTCTATGTTGGAGATGGGATGCTATTTGACTAAATATAATTACTTTATTACTTTTCTCGAAGAAGGGATTAGTATTGAAACGGATAGGAGTCTACTTACAGACAAAGCAGAACTCATTTCAAGCACTATTGAAACTCCACACTCAACTTTAACAACTCATGTGTAACTATACATTGGCAACTATCTATGGGATTGAGGGATGAACACGTACGAACACTTTAAACTAATTGCAGGACAAACGTTTCTATGAATATTCGTTGAGCATTTTCTAGAAAATTCGCGAAATATCTTTCAACCGGTAGACGTAAAGTGACTTAGTTTTATAGTGATGTCTATTACATTCAATGTTTTCAATCGCAGGGTAAGGTCATTTGATATCTACGTAGAACAAGTATAATATACCTTATTTATATGGCAAAATGGTTTGTTTCGCTTCGTCTCACGTCTGCCGCTCCACGCTGAAATTGTAGGTGTAGTCACGGTCGAGATCGAAGCGCGTGCGCCGCTTTATAACGGGCAATTGTGTCTGGAAGGAAGGAGAACCATGTTATAGATTTTTTAAATAAGGCCCGTATAACCAAATGAAATAACACTGTTCGATTTTGAACTAAATATATGCTGAGGAAAATAAAACCTTTAAATATAATATTAATTACAATTATAATATTAAAACAAACCTATATTGAGGAAAACTGTAATACCGTTAATTGTTATTCCTTGTTAAAAGCCCTCCATTACGCACTCAACCAAAGTACTAACAAAAAATGCCTTACTAGCAAAAACGATCAAATCAAATATTCTGCTGTAGTTATTCTATTGTTAACTCACCACATGATCACTAGGCAACCCTCTCAACTTGGGGTTCAATAAAAATGGCACTCCTTCCATCCCGTTGTAGCCTCCCAACGTCTGGTATATGGTGTTTCTTGGTAGGGGCGCGGGTCCCTTCTTGCGACCATGTGCTACGGGAGACGTCGGTCCAGCGGGGCTCCCGTGTGGGATCGGGGATTTCGCTGACGGTGGCCGGGGCGCCGGCCGACTTGGTTTAATATTGTATGACGGACTTAAGGCTTCGTAGTCATGGTCCGTGGTGAACTCCTCGATGTTAGGGTACGCGGTCGGCGACTGCTTGAGATTCAAGTTGTTTAGTTCGGAGACTAGAGGCGATAGCTTCGGTGGCCGCTCTGGTACACGTAATCTGGAAGTAGATGATGTTTTTAATTTTGGAAATCTATAACTTTTATAGTTCGGTGTTCCTAAAACACCATGTGGATTTAAAGACGTTATATGGCCCATACAGATAATGACAAGGTATGCAATTTCAATCAGTCGTCGTATGTTAGCTTATGAAAATTATTTTTTTGAAACAAAAAGCTTAGTTACATACAGTAACTTATTTCATAACAGTAAATAATGAAAGTATCGTCATCGATCATAAGACATTATTCAACGATGGCGAAGACAGCTGGTTATGCAATAAATACTAAATAGTTTTGGTTTGCACACAATGGCGCATGTTTGATAACACGTGCCCAATGCATCCAAACTGCAATACAAATAAAGATGGGTGGTCTCTTTGTTACAATGCTGAAATTATGGCCAAAATTTGTGGAACATAATGAATTAGTCAGTTTCTTTATCAGATAGCTATCCTATCATGGCATAATTTATCAGTTACTTATTCAGTCAAAATTATGATTTGTAAAACTTTTAAGTGGTGCATGTTGCATCAAACTAACAGGGGCGTAGCTTGCGCCGTATCTGCCGTATCAATTATACGGGGCCCCCGGACTACAGGGGCCCCCAACGTGCCCAAGCAAAAATGAATAAAAACTTCCCAATTTTTATTCTATTTCAGTAATCGCAAAAGTCAAAATAAACGATTTTTTCCCGCGTAAAGCATGCGTTCGAAGGTTAACAGAAACTTATAAAGAAAAATAAAAGTTATTAAGATTTTCGGTTTTCACACAAATTATAAATATTTTATGTAAAAAAATCTGTTGTGAGAAATGTTTATCGTTCAAGGGCCCCTAAACAATTTTTTATACGGGGCCCCCCTAAGGCACGCTACGCCACTGCAAACTAAACACATTAAAAAATATTGTGTAACACTCAAAATGCATATAACTAGCTCGTACATTGAGTTTCGTTCAGCGATGAAGTGCGTAAACCACACGAGAACTCAAACACAGCGACTTAATTCATCTGCACTCAACGATTCATTAATTTACTTCAAATCTTTGTGTTGTTCGCGCTTGACAGTTGCCAGAATTCATGTCTACAAGCGTACATGAATGTGACCATTTTCAACTCTTATAACTTAAGCAATAAGGTCCAAAACTAATTCTAACACAGAAAGTGCAAGGTTAATTAATTTGACTTTATTGCAGCTGCTTGTAAATGTTTATACTGCCTTAAGATAAACGCAAAACACAAAGACTTGAAAGCGCAAAAATGCGCAAACAACGCGATGTTTTGGGAACTGTATTATGGTAAATGTGGAATATTTTGTTATGGTTTTCTCATGTACTGGAACAACCAGAATCTTTGTCGATCTGCACATTGAGAAACATAATAGTAATAGAAACTCGGTAACTGCGCTAAGTCATAGGTAGTACCTAGCGCATGCTTTGTCTTGCGCAAACAGTTTGCCAATTTGCGCAAAAGTTTTATAGAGAGATAATGAAGTAGGTACTAAGAGTTGGTGTACTACTTACCTCCTATTAGCTTCGGGCGTGATGTTAGTGACCACGTTCTCGTACTCGTTGTGTGTGGGCGAGTTGTCCGCGCTGCCGCCGCTCACTTTGTAGCACACCATCTTGCCGTTTATCTCACTGCAACAAATACATTTACACCATTAACCTGGCTTCATCGGCACTCAATCCAATATTTTCTTAACTAATGTAAATCACGATAAGTGTGAATCATAATTTAACTTTACAGAACGTTTAACAAGTGTTCTACTTGTGAAGAAAAACAATTAAAACATGGACGTTAAAGGAAAACAAATGTATAATCAATTTACACAATATGAAATACAACAGCTGCCTCGTTGGCATCGTGGTTGCAAGTGCGACTGCCGGGCAAAGGGTGTCGGGTTCGATTCCCGGGTCGGGCAAAGTATTACTGGGTTGTTGAAAATAAATAATTCTCAGTAGTAACACGGAGTCTGGAATTATACCCGGTATATGGCAATAGGCTTACTCCCTACTACATAGGACGCATAAAATAAATAGTGAAAAGTGGGTGTTATATTGTACTGTGGCATTAAGTACACCTCTGCCTACGGGGATAAAAGGCGTGATGTTATGTTATATATATGAAATACAACATTTGCGCTTTTTTCCTCAGAGACTTTGTTACCTATGTCACACATTTTCAATCAAAATAATCAATTGTTAGGATGAATGTGCGCGTGACTAACAGCTTGTCATTATTTAGCGTTATTACCTGACTGTACGAAGGGTATTGTTAATTTGCACACTTTGTGTCTATCAATAAAGTTATTTTCTATAATAAATGAAATGCTGTAGGTAATTCATTTATCATAATATGATAAAAGAATATTAAAATAAAATGCACAGCTTAAAGCAGTTTTGTTGCCGAGATTCGAACTGGTACGTTACGCTTTCCTAGCTCGGATTTACAACACGATCCAGAAGCCATGAAGGTCCGAGAACCCGACGAGTTCCAACTTCCGGTTATAAAAAAACATCAAAGATACTTTTTTTGCTTTTAACTTGGCCAATCAATCAGTATTTAAACATAAAGCAGTGACGACGACACAGCTTATCGTGTCATTTATTTAATGAAACTCACCCAGCGAGTATGAACCCCTGCGGCGCCTGCCTCATCTTAGAGCAGACGATGACGTCTGTCACAGGCGGGTAGGCGCGCGCTGCAGCAGGGCGGGAGACGCGCGTACACAGCCGCCTCTTCCCAGCGCGCCCCGCCACGCTGTACCCGGGCGGAGCTGCCTCTCGCTCCCCCACTATCACTACACCGTCCATCACGTAGCCAGGAACACCTGATAAAGGAATAGTTATGTTAGTCAGGATAATAATATCAACTTTTCCAATTGCAATCAACAATAAACATTATAAAATACACATTTCCTGATTATAAAATCCTGCTGTGACTTGAAACTTGTCGACTTGCGAGAAAGTTGTTAAAATATTGTTTAAAGAATATTTAAATCTACATCTTATTTAACTAGTTGTTGTGACCTAAATGCGATTATGACAACACCCACAAATACCTAATCAAGTTTAAATGAGTAATTTCACATAAGATTTACTCCCATAAGAAAGACTAAAGACTGCGTCGACGAATGCAATGTGAGATGTTTACTCTCTGATGTCATACTTCTGTGAGGAAGTATTAGCAGGTTATACAAAATATATAAGTGGTTAGGTGATGAGCTGTAATGATCTAAACTGTGTAAACTGTGCATCCGTGACAATAAACAACACCGCAATTCGTATAATCGTCAAGAGCATGTCTTGACGATTATACGAATACGCTAGTATAAAATGGAAATTGATACAATCGATGGACAAAACGAAGTCAAATACTTGCATGACATGTAGGTAGGTACTACTGTTCTACATATCGGAGGGTTAAGGAAGCCTTGTAGAGTCACAATACTAATGAGCTTGTATAGGACGCAGTGTCAACTCGATGACCAGCTGACCACTATGCCAGCTGTTCAAGTACAACGGTATTATGCAAATATAACAACTGTCAACTAGAGTGCATTTTGAAAGATCTACATTTATAATTTTAAAGCCATATAAGTATATATATATATTTTTATGTTACGCAATTATTTTTTACGAATAGTTCTCCGCCCTCCAACAAGGGGTGAAGGTATGCAATAGTGGCTGGCCAATGAATGCGAAATGCTAAAGATCCAGTTTTGTGGAGAGGCCTTGTTCATGTGTAGCTGCGGACAGAAACGCGCTGATGATAGTAATGATGATGATGTATTAGTATCACTAAATACCGGTCCAAGGAACATTTTTACGCAACTGTTTTATGACTTTCTTGATTTACCTTTATGTGGACGAGTTTGAAATAACAGATATATTCTACGTCTCTTTTAATAACTGAAAATATTACAGTGGTCGGCACGACACCATTTTTATTGATCAGGCAACTCCTGGTTGTGTACTATCGTTTTATTTTTTACAACTTTCGCTCGCCTCTCGACCTCTTTCTCCATCTACGGATGTTGTGAGTACTTGGTGTATCGATTATAACCAGCTCGATATGGTGGAAAGTGGTTTAGTAAGTGGTAGCTGAAAGGCTAGGGAATTTTGACTCCTTATACGGTCATAATACATAATTATACAATCTATTGTATTGTTTTTTTAACCGCTTGAATGTCCGTATATAAGACACAATAGAAAATACATTGTGTCTCGCGTGGATCCACGACAGGTTAAACTTATTGATTATTTAAGGGCTCATTCTTTTCTGTTGATCTTGTTTCTGTTACAAAAGTCAATTCTATTAATATAATATAAATGATATTACTTTATTCACAAACCGAACATAATGATTGATTAGAACATGACATCACAGAGAGATTAGCCTTCTATTATCTAAAGTGTCACCTAAATAATTTTGTTGATAATAAGTGTACCTTATGCCGAAATGTGTGTCGTTTACATTTTCTAAGAAATCAGTCTGCATTGATATCATTATAAAAAAAGTTTGTTAATTTTATACAAAGTCAAAATAATCTAGATGTTGTTAAGGCCTAAGGATATGTCGTTTACAAGTGTTGCAAATGGGGGCTACAGAGCTGCTCCATTTGGAATACCCAGTGCCTCTCATAGGAGCTAGTGGTTTCCATTAAGTGATTTAAGAGGTTAATATCCCACACCCCAAAAGTTAAACGCGTTTTAGAGTTCCCCTCGTCCTTAAAAACGGTATTGTTAGAACACGAATACACAATGTGCTTAAGAAATTGAGAAAAAATGCAACATATTACTAGACTAAACTAGACTATGACTACCTAGTATGACAAAGCCAGAAATAGAAGCTAGACAGACAAACTCCGTGGGAAGGTACGATGACATGTGAGCGAAGATCGTCGAATCAATGCCAGCATACCAATACGGTGACGACTTGCTTCCAAAATCCTATACACCTCAAAACAGTTATCATATCATATCTACAGGTAGCTTTGTCATACATAGAAGGTATCTCTCGAGAGAAAAAATGTCGTTTGGGTACAATAGAGTCGAAGCATAACAATGGGAAGCGTCATGGTTACACTATCATGGAGTCTGTTTAAATTTTCAATGGGGACATATCTTACTCGTGATTCGTAATCGGAACGTAAAGTGTACCTATAACAGATCTATAGATAAGTGATATTGTTACTGAAAGTTTCCTTGTCTATTTAACCAAGTCCAGGGTCTTGGACCTAGAACTTTAGGAAGGCGAGGCAAAAACTAAAGAAGTCGTCCTCATTTCCCCATGTTTTAACCTTCAGCACTATTATAATTTGGACAAAGACATGATGTCTTACGACTTGTACAATCAAAAGAAATCGTGAAAGGCAACCTTTCTGAAAACACACGCAAATAAAGTTACATGGAACTCCATTTCCTGAGGCAGAATAAGCGCGTATTATAAATCCATTTCCTGGGAACAGGCCGGCAATCTAGTAACAATGAGGCAGTGACCCACTGGCGTAACTGTAAACAGATTTAAGCGTGGCTGGGGGCTGGTCGCCGGTCGCGGCCCCGTTACGATCATTGAGTAATCATCGGACAACAAATTCGGCCTTCGTATCAACTTTAATGAAAGTGAATAATACTGTTCCTTGTACTTGTCGCAATTATATTATTTACTTTGATTTTTTTGTACCGTTTGATCTCTGAAAAGTATTGATTACTATGCTGTATATCTGTCAGTAATGTTTATTTTACTAACTGAATTTTGATATTTAAAATATACAAATTAAAAAATGTGTACGGTGTAACACAGTGTAACTTAAGCGCAACGCATTTATCACATTCATAATGAAAGCTGACACACAGTTAAATGATAGAAGTTTTTATTAATTTACGGCACGCAGGGCTTTGCCCTTTCATAGATAAGACTGTCTATCACCGTGGAGGGCTTTCATAATTCATTTATCACATTGCCCTATTTATCTTAACGGCCAGTATTTTATCGTGCAGTGTAAACCCACGGAGCAAAGACAGCGACGTTCTGCTAGTCACATGTCGTATCTACTCGCTAATCGATTTTGAAACTATACGGTGTTGGATTACACGCACGTACTTGCGTTAACTTATTTATAGCCCCTACAAATTTTGGAATAGTCGACTACAGTCTATAAAATAAAACATTAAATGTATGTACATATTGCATAACATGCAAAATGTTCAGCAATTACTAGTTAGGTTTAAGGAAAACTAAAAGTAAGCCATTAATAATAACTTAATATCTAATCAAAACTTTATTTTCCTTGTTATTTGCATTCGCGGGGTTTTTGCAAGATATTTGTTCATTAGCGATCACGTTCAGATATGAATATCATACTCATTAGTTTGGATCACAACCATTTCCTTAATCATACCATGTTTTTACTTTACAAGAACATAATGGCCGGACCTTGTGGCAGAGGTTCTGGAAAGAATTATGTAAGGAAGGATCGTAATAAGAGTTAAGGATCGTAAGCCCTCCAAAACTTAAATTTTAAACCTATGGGACAAAGGCCTGGGTTTATATACGTATGTAAGGAGACCAATAAAGTGCTGTGTGGACATGGATTCGAGTGGGCGGTGCTCGGCGAGTCGTTATAATTAATAACTGTCTCTAGAACTATAATTACACCACATTCCATCATCCGTTTTAAAACTTACATGTCTGATGAGGACCTTAATGGGATTATCAGTAGGTTGAATGAATTAAGGGATTATTTTTGCGTTATGTTCTTTAGTTAAAAAATATTGAAAACGGATCCAGTGCCATGAGGCCGCTCGTCATTAATTATTTCGTACTTATAATAAATATGTATTTTAAACTACTGCCGGGTAAAAATACACGAACTACTTCATCAGCTTACCCTCGGACTTGGACAAACAAATGTAGTGGCTTGGTTTCTTGCCGAACAAGCCATTCTGGCGCAGTAGTCCAGCGTCAGCGTCTTCATCATACGTCCTGCTGACGGGCCAGTACCCTGTAGGACACTTGGCCACCGTCTCCACGATCTGCAAGGACAGCAGGGGCCGCTCATCTGGCAGCGCACCACCAAGCGCGCTCAGCACCTTAGACATCTTCCGGCTATGTCATCATAGGTGCCAGTCAGTCTTGCCAGGTGTCCCCCTTCTTAAGTTATCAGTCTCTTGATTATAGCACCTAGAACAAACACAATTGAAATATTAATTAAAATTCGAAATCGATAGGAACCAATTAAAACTCTAATAACGAGTAAGGAAAATGTAGAGTAATCAATCATACAAATACGTTACGATGACGGTAATAACAAACTAAATAATTATAACAAAAACATTTCATTAATACAAATTGACACTAAAACAAAACACTCAATTATCTTAACCAACACCAAACTCATTCTAAACTATGGATTGCAGCAGATGTGACTAGACGCCTGAGCGTCTGAGTAGCTAGACTCTAGTCCCCTAGACGTCGTACACAAAGAAAATGGCAGACAAGGTGGATGAAAATGACAAGGGTCACAGACCGTAAGCTGAACCAAAGCAAACGAGGTCTACGTCCTATGACAGGTCGATCAAGCGACAGACAGGGTATTAGTCCATTAAGTGCTAAAATATTGAAGAGACTAGCTCTGAATTGTGATCCATTGTTTCTATTTTTATTTGAAACTAGTTTGAAAATATGAACATTTAAAATCAATAATGTCTCATTGGTGTAAAGTAAAGAAGGCTTGATAAAAAAATTCTTATCAGTCAAGACAAGAGTCAAGATTGTATATTATGTAGTCTAATAGTATTACTGGGCAAAAGTTGCTTTACTTCCAAACTTTTCTTCTTCAATAGAAAAAAAGATAGTGAAGGCCACCGGAGGTAGCATTTAACGAAACCTACCAAGGACAAGATAAAAAGGGCTTCATTTCTATACGCTTCAAGACTTTATTCAGTGTATTGGAAAATTTTAGCATACATTAATCCGATTAGGTAGGCATTAGAGGTATATTGTAAATCGACCTCTTTGGGAGCGAGTGAGTGAACTTTCAGCCACTTACACATTCAATTGAGGAAATTGTGAGTCGTGACTGTCGTTGCCCCTACCCTTATGTAGGCAATTCTAACGCTAATCTCTATTATGTTTTGAATACTAACTCAGGGTATTGTGTCTGCTTGATAAATCCAATAGGTATATTTGCAAACCTGAGGCGCAACTTAATCTTAAATCTGCAATATCGATGGGTTCAATTGCACGAGCAATCATACCAATCTAGAATTTCTACTAAACAATCTAAAGCATTCGGTTATGATTCGGATGTCCTGCTAAGAGCTAAGCTTTTATAATACAATACCACATTATAGCGACAATATTCACGTCTACCAATCAGTCCTCAGTCAGCCTCGCCTGATAATTGACTGATTGTAAACCGACACATGTGTACTGCCTTCAGACCGGGTCCGCTCAAACTGTTGTGGTTCTTTCCTCAAAAGGCCACTACAGAAAGAACTTGCACGGTTCTCACACATAATCTTTTATATAAATTTGTCTGGACTTTAAAAGCGACAGAGCTCTGAGTTTGTTTCGGCATTTCTTCTCAGAGTAGTCAGTTAGGAAATGTCGGCCTCATCGTTCGCTTGATAAAATTGACGTGTAAAAGTGCTACCACATTAGGATTTTCTCCTGTGTCGTGGGTGCGTTTACAAACACACAAATTCACATACACAATGACACCCAGACCCGAAACAACAATTTGTGGTTCACACAAAGTGTTTTTCCGTGCGGGAATCGAACCCGCGACACGTTGCACGGCAGCCGGTTGTCCAGCCACCGCACCAACCGTGCAGTCGAATTTGATATTCATCATTAGTTTATATCTACAAGTTCAAATCTCGAATAGTTTTTTTTTTTCATTATAGCGCATTCAACAATCACTGTTAAGTACACAACAGTGATTGTTTCGATTAAGGCGACATTCTTAAAGATTTTATATGATATTTAGGTCCTTAGATGTGATTGTTGACCTTTTTAAGACGATTACAATTTGAAAGACTCTCGTAAAGCGTGTCAAGTATTTTGTATTACTAAGAAGTTTTTAGGACAAGCATACGTACTTCTCTTCCAAATAATGTACAATTGACTGGTTCGTTGCTCATATTGTCCCAAAAGCCAAAGAGAGTGGAATAACAGATTCGTTGTTATGTAAAGTGCGTAATTATAAATTGTTGATGTGAACGATCATCATAGAAGATTATACAGCAGACATTAATCAAGTAGTTCATTAATAATAAATAAATGTACGTAATACTATGATTTATTATAATGAATAACCAAGTACTTGAGACAAGAAAGCAATTTTATTGTAAAGTGATTTGTATAGAAAAACCCCCTGCTATCAGACGAGTGGAAACTTGACAATCAAGACACAGTTAAGTACATTGGAAGCAAAAAACGACCACGAGTTAATAGGTAGGTAGTCTGAAGGAATCATCAGCCATCTCCGAGATTGTAGTACCAATAAAAACAGCATTGAAACCACAATTGGATTCTGTTGTAACTAAGCGAGTTATTTTTTACGATTTTCCGACGTTTGAACGCTTTCGTTCGACGGTCAATTTGGGTCCGATCCGATTAAAAAGTGATTAATTAAATATATTTGCTCCATCTTAATCGTGACTTGTTACTCATTATCACCGTAGCCGTAGGCCTCCCCAACGACTTTAAGATCGTCCGTATTTCGTACATCGTAACCGTTATTTTATTACCGTACCAAAATACTTGATCGTGTTACTCATTTTGCACTAAAACGGCCTTGAAGTTACACAGAACGTTAACCTTGGCACTATGTTACGCTCAAGTAAAACCTGATAGCCGTATACTTTTAATTCAAAGTCCTCAATTACACACAGTGCCAGAGTTTTATGTTGATTACGCTGTTGCGAAGACAGGAATTTATACAGAACTGAATCCACAACAGGTGACGGTAGGTAGAACACCGCAGAACTCGTAAAATGTTGGCTTTTTAATGCCCAGACTCGTTATGTCCAAGTTATTCGTTATACAGTCGAACACAATATTTAGTACACTACAATTGCGACCTGTTATATTATATCTTTTGGTTTTTGACTCCTTCTTTATTTAATAGGAGTCGGGAAAGTATTTTGTGGTCGGGATCGTCACCCTACGAATTTCACCACTACATACTCTTTACTTCTTAAAGGTGTGAGTCTCATGTCTCATAGGCTACTTGTTGAATTATGAATCACAATTTAACTGAACATAAACGATGAAATGGAAACCACAGTTTACTGGGAAAACCAGCTAACGTAACCGAAGAGCATTATTATTTCAAACCTGTTATGTTCTTATAATAACTATTTCGTACGCGTAAGAATTTAGAACTTAACAGTCACCAGCATTTGAAATTGCGACCAAGTATCAAAGTACGAATATTTAGCGGAACTGTGATCCTGTCTGTCTGTGTGCCTAATCTGAGGTATATTTACGATAAATAATACCTCTTTCGCCGGAGGCCCTTAAGCAGTAGACTACACTGTTAACGGTTGCCGATGAAGCTACAATCGCCCATGACGACTTCCAAAATGTTTTTTATATAATTTTAAGACCACTAAATTATTTTGCTTGTCTACACAAAATACTGCCTCGTTGGCCGAGTGGTCGCAAGGGCAACTGCCGGGCAAGGGGTCTCTAT